CTATGTTCTCCCTCATTTTCCCAGCACCCTAAGACACATCTGTATCACCCCCACTTCACATTTGTTGAAACAGAGGCTCAGGGTGGTGAGGGAACTTGCCTAAGGTCCAGAGCCTGTTAGAGGCGCTTCACATCCAGGTCTGCCTGTCTCTTATCTCCCTGCTACTCCGAGCTGTTATTCTGACATTGCATTGATGATCTACGATTCCCTTCAAAAAGCTGCTATCTCGGGATGACAAGTTCTTTTGACAAAAGGGGGAGGCATTTCTCCTAAGTGGCTTTTTTCTTAAGAGCTTTTACAGTAAGATAGGGACTCATACGTGTGGAGACTGCAAAGGATCAAATGGCCCCAAGGAACCCTGAGAGCACACAGGATTGTTTTGGTTGGATTCCAGCAATGAGCGGGAGCCCTTCTCACAGTGTGTGTCACACAGTTAGCTGAAAAATGGTACTATCCCTATGGTGATGATGAGGATGACGACGATGACAACAATGATGATGACAAACCTGGTTATTGCTCTCCCAAGGAGTTCACGGTCTAGTGGAGGAAGCATTCAAGTAAACAGAGGATCATAAAACAATGAGGTAAGAAGAATGCATCAAGTGTGACCAGGACTGAGAGAGGAGAGCTCAGCCTAGACAGGGGGCAGGGGTGCGGTGGGGACTCCAGCATTCAGTCACATGCAGATGTCCAGTGTGCATGTGCGTGCGTGACTGCACAGTGACTGCTGCTCAGCTGAGCTGTGTGTGTAAATAGGAACGAAGTGAGTTTCCATAACTGCGGCTTTTATCATTTCCTTTTCTCCGTGCTACCTAGGGCTAAGATCTCCAGGAGCTTTTCAGAAATACCACTTTGGATGTTCCTAAAAAGTGTTTTGGATTTGTGTTGTCATCATCCGAGATCCCACTGTAATATAAAGGGTCAGGCGGGATGGAAAGAGCAAGAATTATGGTTGCTTAGGAAACTAAACACTACATTTCCTGTGATTACAATCTCAAGGCTAAAGTTCCTTGCTCACTGCAGGGTTTTCTTGACAACAGCGTGTACCTGTCCAAAGGTTTTGAAAGAGTATAAAACTAGGGTTATTTTGGGTTCCAGGAGACTGGCTCAAGGCTCTGGAAAGAGGCCCTTCACCTTTGACCTTTCTTGAATGGCCTTTCCTGGCCCTGGTCCCCTGGAAGACACGGCATCCTGGCTCCTGGTCACCTGGGAACGTGGCTGATAACTTCTCAGCCTGCCCATGAAAGCAGGGTAAGAGCCTTGGCGGTTTTGAAGCCACTTGGATAAGAGTTGCTGTTCTGTCATTTACTAGCTTCCTGACCTCAGGAGACTTACTTAACCCCTTCAGACCCAATTTCCTCATCTCTAAAATACAGGTGCTAATACTTGCCTGGAAAGCTTGTTGAAGGAGTCAAATATTAAGGTTGGTGAGACACCTGGCATGTGGTAGGCACTCAATAAGGAGCAGTTATGCTTATTTATATTGGGAATGGCCTAGAAAAGTTTCCAGGAATTAGAGGCAGGCCAAAAGAAAGGATGGGGCTGAGGTGGGTGGAAAGGAGGAAATGGGCCGTCTGAAGAACAGCATGATGAGAGCGTGTACCTAGAAAAGCTGGAGGCACATTCGGTGTCACCATGGAAGGCTAACTGGAGCCCCCTGTCCGCGGGGTTGGAAAGGCTAATTGGGACCTGAGTTTAGAGGATTTGAAATGCTAAGGGGTTCTGGCGTTTCTGTGGAGGTCGGCAAGGAATACCAAAGGTTCAGAGGAAGCAGAAAGGGTCCCCCAGGAGGCCCCCTTTCTTCCTCAGCCCGAACTTGGCAACATCCGGACTTCCTTTGAAGTTGGAGGCTCTCATTTTTAACAGTATTTATAGTTCCCTTTACCTTTTACAATAGCTGCTGGACTTCCTGTGCTCAGAACAGCTAGCTGCGCTGCGCGACTCTCCCAGCCAGCCTCTCCCCCATCTCCAGGGGAGCTGTGGAAAGGCGGCTGCGTATAGAAACGCTCCCCGGACTGCTAAGAAGCAAATGATTTTTAAAGATTAGCTGGCACAAAGGGAAACAAGGCCCCTTAAACCTCCTTAGTCAAATAAAAGCTACCTCTGAATCAGATGCACGATCTGCCATGACTCATGCTTTCGTAAGGCTCCGTGCAGAAAGCCATCTGCCAGCAGGTCTGGGAACTCGGTTCCAGGCAACCAGAGACCTTTGTGGGGAGGAACTGTGCTTTACAGGACCAAGCCGACCACAGGGAGGCTTACACAGGAGCCTAGGAGGTGCCTGGAAGGTTTCCTTCCGTAGGAGGCAGCAGAGGCAAGGAAAGCAGTTCTTTCTTTACTGCTTTGGGAAAACAAGGGCATTACAGCTAAAACGTGCCTAGAGTCCAGCTGATCTTAACTAGTGCTTCAAGGATACCCTTCAGGAAGTCTGTAGATTCCTGCAAAATTAGGTGGGTATGTGCATTTTGTGGGAAGAGAACCCATAGTTTTAATCAGATACTTTTGTTCTAAGACCCCTGTTATGTCCTGATTATGCCTAAACCTCCTTATTTTGCCCAGAGAGCATGACTGAGTGACTTGCCGGAAGTCCCCCACCAGTGGGTAGCAGAGACAGAGTGGAAGCAAAATCTTCAGGGCCCTTTCTGTTTCACTGATCCCATGAGAGACCTTAGAACAAGGCGACATTCTGTGACATTCTGTACATGACCCCTAGACAGAAATGAAATGTGCCAGGGACAACTTTGAAAGCTCCTCCCCTCCTTCCAGCCAGGCAGGCTTCCTAAGAGGACAACACGCTCCTGGGGACAGGCGCAGGCAATGGGGAGCTGCTGAGGCTGGCTCCTTGATTATCACATACCTGGGGGTGGGCGGCAGGATTGTGGCTGAGTTTCTGGCCCTCTTGGCTGTATACTCAGGGAAAACAGCAGATTGGGAGTGAGCAGGAAAAGGGGAGTGTTCTGGGGGCCTGGGAGTCATTGCTGCCTTTTTTTCTCATCTATTCGGATGATGGGTTTTCACTTTGGCCTAACTTCCGTGGGACATCATCACAGCTGTAACGCTAAAGAGCCCGTACTCTGAAGGCTGACAGCTCGGGTTTGCCTCCTGGCTCCAGCACTTATTACTGATATAACTTTGGGCAAGTTTCTTGCCTTCTAGACCTTGATTTTTCCATGAGTAAAACAGCTTACTGGTACCCATATTTTGCAAAGATGGATAGGTGCCAACTCTTCATACAGTCGGACGATTCTTCCCAGACCAGCCTCCCTTGCTCTCAGGTCGGCTGAGTGACTGAATTTTCTAGCAAATGGTATGTGAGGGGAAGTGATGTGAATTGATTTCAGGCCTGGCCATAACATTTTTCCAGGTGATCCTCCACATTCTCTCGTATCTCATCGGCTGGCTAAGGATGCCTAAGAGGACTCTGAAGTCCCGGGGGATGATGGGGTGACCCGAGGGAAGGAGCCTGTGCCTCTGAATTGCCATGTGGAAGGCTGCCTGCCAAATACCTGCCCTCAGCTATTGCTATGGGTTTCTATAGCAGTTAGCCTACTTCATAAGGTTATTGTAAGAGTTCAATGAATTAACATCTGCAAATCTCCTAAAACATTGCCTGGAACATATATGTAAATGAGCTATAGACATGATTGCTATTATCAGGATAGATGGATAGATGGAAAGATAAATGGATATTGAGAGAGAAAGAAAAACTGCAAGAATTATCTTTAAAGGTAGCAAAGGTTGTTGGTCACAGAAGTTTTTCTCTCGCTCCAGTTTTATTGAGACATAATTGACTTACAGCACTGTATAAGTTTAAGGTTTACAACATGATTTGACTTACATGTATTGTGAAATGATCACCACAATGAGTTTAGTTAACATCCATCATCTCATATAAATGAAAAAAAAAGTGATTTTTTTTTCCTTGTGATGAGAACTCTTGGGATCTACTCTCTTAACTTTCAAATATACCATACAGCAGTCATATAAATATGCCATATTACTTTATATGCCATCATACTTTACAACACTAGTATTTATTTACCTTATAACTAGAAGTTTGTACCTTTTGACCACCTTCATCCAATTTCTCTCCCCTCAACTCCACCTCTGGTAACCGCAAATCTGATTTCTTTTTCTATGAGTTTTGTTTGTTTGTTGGTTTGTTTTAGACTCCACATATCAGTGAGATAATACATTATTTGCCTTTCTCTGTCTGACTTATTTCACTTAGGCCAGTCTTGTTTCTTAAATTATCACCAAGATAATACTAAAAAAATATTGTTACTATACTTTTGGAGGCCAAAAGATGGCATCGTAGAAAAATGTGTATAGGCATTTATTAGTACATTCCCATGTTTCTTGAAGAAAAACAAAACTACTCCTTTCCTCAAAGAGATACAGTCTAGATGAGACTGGCGATTAGAAACTTTTTCCAACCAAATAAGGTGTTTATGCAAAAATAATAGTTTCACTTTTTTTACTCAAATAATCATTAAAATCATTTGCTTATATGGGAAATAAGAAAAAAAGAGGGAGGGAGGGAAGGTGGAATGGAGGGAGGGAGAAGAAAAGGGAGAGAGGGAGGGATGGAGAAAAGGAAAGTCATAGCTGAGCCCACCTCAGAGGTAGCTCCCTCTCAGATGATATTGGTATTTCTCTTTGTGCCCCAGTCACAATGGCTTAAGCCCCAAAGTCATCACTAGTTCATTTCATGGCTATTATGTCCTCCTACTGGTCAACCTGCCCCCAGTTCCTCCCCCTGCCTCTCTGACCACCCTCAAATCCATCCAGCACACTCTCCCCAGGACAATTGCCCCAAATCCTCCTCTGTCACCTCTTTTTCTCCTGTTCCAAACCCTGCATTGCTCTTGACTGCTTCCTGCAGAGAATCTCAAACTTTTCTAGAGAAGAGCCATCATGATAGAGAAGAACAAGCTGGTGTCATTTGTTCTTTAATAACTGATTCAATTCATTCAAATAATATTTTTGAGTACCTGCTATGAACTGGGTACACAACAGTGAGCAAAACAGGCAAAAAAATTTCTGCCTTCATGAGCTTACTCTAGAGTGTAAGAAGATAGAGAATAAATGAATAAGTTAAATCATGGTGCATGAAATGGTAATAAGAATAAGGGGGAAAAAATCAGGGATGAATAATAGTAGGTACCAGGAGTCAGGGCAGGAGAATGCCTTTTTAAGTAAGGTACTCAGGGAAGGAATCACTGAAAAGTGACATTTAGGCCAAGAGCTGGGAAAATCAGGGAGCAAGCTTGTGCAAACCTGAGAAAGAGCATTGCAGAAGGAAGAAATTTGGGCCAAGAGCAGGCCTGGTCCTTGCATGGCTGGTGTGGAATGAATAAAGACAACGAAGAGGCTAGATCGAGTGAAGACTTGGGAAGCATCAGATTGAGTTTGGCTTTTACCCTGACTGAACAGGGAAGCCACTGGAGGGTTCCAAATGGAAGAGGGCTTGATCTCCCTTATGTATTAACATGATCACTGTGGTTGCTAGGAGGAGAATTACCTAGAGTGGGCAAAGACAGAAAGCAGGACACCAGTAAGGAGCCTAAGATAGTAATATGAGTGAACAAGAGATGATGGATGATAGCAACTTAGACCATGGTGATACCAGTGGAAATTCTGGATATGGAACCAAGATGTTTCCTGATTGATTACATGTGGTGTATAAGAGTAAAAGAAGAATCAATACTGACTCTATAGTTTGAAGCCTAAAAATGTAAAGAGTAGAGTTGTCATTGAATCAGGTGGGAGAACAGGCTTATTGTAGAAAGATTAGGAATTTCCGTTTTAGGTGTGTTTAAGTCTGAGATGCATATTAGATAGCCAACTGGGGATGACAACTATGCAGCTGGAATTCAGGGGAAAGGTCCATGCCAGAGACATAAATTTGGAAGTTGTCAGCATATAAAATGCATAAAAGCCATGAAACTGGATGAGATCACCCCATCAGAACATTTGCATAGATGAAACTAATACAAAATAATATTGAATGTCAACTGTAATTGAAAAAGAAGAACACATAGACAGGGAAGACATTAAGGGGCTGAGACCTGGGGGCTCCCCATATTAAGTGGTCTGGGAAATGAGAAAAACCAGCAAAGGAGGTTGAAAAGGAGTGGCCACTGGGAGAGATAAGACCCTAGCAGAAGGCAGGTCCTGGAAACCAAGTGTTGAGTGTTTCTGGGAGGAGAAGCTGATAAACTATGCTCCGTTTTGGAGTATTCAAATAA